ATTCAGTTGCTATGCCAAGTTTCGCCACAAGATGTCCTCAGCAGACCACAAAATCTTTTCCCAAACACCAATTAGCTTTTTTATTTTTCAGTTAAAAAAACAGAGAAAAAGATATTTTCCAAAATTACAGTAATAGTTTAGGTAAATGATAAGTCTCTATAATAAGAAATTTTGGGACCCCGAGGTATCCACAGAGCAAAAATCCAGTTATCTAGTTGTTAAAGTTAGTTATTCTTTTCTTTTCTTTTCTTTCCAAAGCTTAAATTCCCAAGTATGCAAGCGCTGCTGAACTGAGAGTGGGGAAAGAGTTTCAAGGAGCTTTCACAGGAAGGTAGTTAGGGTAAAGAGAGAGAAAAGGAAAGGTCTCACCCAGATCTTCCACGGTGCTTCATTGAGCTTAGAAGTGCTTTTGGCTTTCAGCTGGTGCAGCTAGATGGTCAGCCATGTTGATGGCCAATCTTTCTTCCGACGATCCAAAGGAGCTGCCTCAGCTCAAGCGGGAGGGCTGCCGCCCTTCCACACTCAGGTGAGGGTCCTCCTCAGCAGTGATCGCCCCTCCAGGGCGACTTTCGACCCTTTCCAGGGTCTTTCGATGGAAAGAAACCAAAGGCGGGGAAGGAAACTCTCCCCGTCGTCCGAAGGTGCCGCGATCCGGAACCGGAAGCCCCATCAAACTTTATTCTTAACCTCAATATAAGCGGTCATTTTGCCTCACAGTTGCCGCAGGCACCAGGGGTGCTGGGACAGGTGGTAGGATGGCTGGCACCGGTCTTCTATCAGGAGCAGGATTGGGCCATTCCAGAGGTTTGGATGCCAAAAGTTATTCCACTTTTTCTCTGATAAGATCGAGTGCCTGATTAATCACTGCACCTTGGGCCTCCCTCTTGGATCGCTTAGGATTGAGTTGCACTGCTTGTGGCGTGACGTAGCTCCAGATCCATGGGTAAGGGTCATTCCTGGAGGGGGCTTCTTCAGCTTACTGATGCCCATGGATCATCAGGGTCACTCTCTCGATGACGACTCTCTCCATCTGTCAGGGGAGCTGGATGGAGGTGATGGTTTCCACACAGCTGTTTTCGGGTGTACACCCAGTTCAGCTGAGGTTCTCCAGCTTCTCCTTTGATTGGCCAGAGTTCAAATTCCTCCTCTGGGTCAAGACTCCTGTCTCTGCTCTCCGGTGTCACCGCGATGACTCCCACACTTTCCTATCTGGTTGTCCATTGTTTGAGACAGGCATGGTTTGCACAACTCCCATGGTAGATTTTTTCTCCAAGTGGATTGGTAATGCAGTTCTGACCTGCCTCAGCTTGGGGCCCTAAGTAAAAACAATCTTTAACACCATCAAATTGAGAAAGGTATAGTTTACTAGAAGCCAAGTGAAATACAGTAATACAAAAACGGAACTGAAATTCACCTGCCAAAATCTCAAGTGTAACTTTTCCCTCCCAATGGTGCATGACTGTGGGGATTCACAGTACCAGTTGTAAATACTACTATTTCAATGCTATGACAAGTTTGAATGTTAGTGAAGACCACCTGTACAGAATTCAGAGTGACTCTTTTAGAAAAGAAGAACTTCAATAGTACTATTGAAAGAGAAACTGTTGAACCACCCACCATAATCAAAAGGTTTTGGTCTATTTTTCAACAAACACAATGAGTTTTAACACATTACAATTGTTAATTGATAGGGTACTTGTAATCTGTCTCATTGGTAACCTGTGTACTCTATCTTCCCTTCCCTTCTCTCATTTCCCCCCCAATCTCATCCCAATTTAAATCCTACATCAGCCTAGCCATTCTATGCATATGACAAAGTGAGCTGCAACTCAAGAAAATTTTGCCTTTTAATTAAAATTGTGCCTCAAGAAAGTACTAGTAGACTTCTATTTTTTTTGCCACCACAGATTAATACAGCTCTCCTCCTCCAATGGTTACAGTAATAATTTCGGCTGGCAGCTTTCTTTGCAAGTGGAAGGGAGGACATGCATGTTCCATCTAAGTGCTTTTAGTGTCCCAGTGTCTCCTAGGAAAAGTAAAATTTGCAAGGATGTAATTCTTTTTGCTAGGAAGCAACTATCCCAGCTATCATGCAGAATGCAGTCTAGATAGTAGAATAAGCTAACCAAGATTTGTCATGTGATAACCAGCGATGGCCATCCCTGAATAGAAGTACCAGTCTCAGTGGCCCACACAACAGTAATTTCTCATCTGAGTCATTGCAATATACTTTATGTGGTGCCACTAAAAATTATACAAAACCTTATGCAACCTATGCAAAATTAGACTACATATTGTCTAGTTAATGTCAGATATCATGTAATGATATCTATTAGTGATAAGTATATTGCAGTGGTGGCATTCAGCCAGTTTGCACCACTTCGGCAGAACCAGTAGCTAATTTTTTGTTACCCAGGCCCAGAATTGACTTCCGGAAGTGGCATCCACACAGAGAACCGATTATTCACATATACAGACCAATCAGTTTAACATCAATACCTGGGAACATCCTAGAAAAGATAATCAAAAAACAGATCTGTTAACAACTAGAAGCAAACAAAGTCATAACTAGTAGCCAGCACAGGTTTGTTAAAAACAGATCATGCCAAACCAATCTCATTTCATTCTTCGATAAAGTGACTAAACTAGTAGACCAGCGAAACGCAGTGGATGTAGTATACTTAGATTTCAGTAAGGCATTTGATAAAGTAGACCACAACCTACTCCTTTGTAAGCTAGGAAAAGTTAGAATAGACAACATCACCACCAGATGGATCTGTAGCTGGCTAACAAACCGTACTCAACGAGTAGTCCTCAATGGCACTACATCCACATGGAGAGAAGTAAGCAGTGGGGTACTACAAGGTTCCGTCTTAGGCCCAGTACTCTTCAATATCTTCATCAATGACTTAGATGAGGGAATTGAAGGGGAACGCATCAAATTTGCAGATTACTCCAAACTGACAGGAGTAACCAACCCCCCCCGGAAGACAAACTCAGGATCCAAAAAGATCTTGACAAACTTGAACAATGGGCCCTATCCAACAAAATGAGTTTCAATGTGGAGAAAAGCAAAGTCTTACATTTAAGCAGGAAAAACCAAAGTTACAAATACAGATTGGGCAAGACCTGGCTTAAAAACTGTAACTGTGAGAGGGACCTTGGAGTCCTAGTGGAAGATCACTTGACTATGAGCCAGCAGTGTGCAGCAGCAAACAAAAAAGCTAATATAATCCTGGGTTATATAAACAGAGGCACAGAATCAAGATCACGCAAAGTATTAGTACCGCTTTATAAAACTCTAGTAAGACCACATCTGAAATACTGCAGCCAATTTTGGTCACCATATCACAAAAAAGATGTTGAGAGTTTGGGGAAAAAAATCAGAGAAGAGCAACTAAGATGATCAAAGGCCTGGAGACTAAAACATACGAAGAACGGCTACAGGACTTGGGTTTGGCTAGTCTAAAGAAAAGAAGAAATAGGGGAGACATGATAGCAGTGTTCCAGTATTTGAGGGGCTGCCACAAAGCAGAAGGGGCCAGATTGTTCACCAAAGCACCAGAGGAAAGGATGAGAAACAATGATTGGAAATTGATCAAAAAGAGAAGCAACCTGGAATTAAGGAGAAACTTCCTGATAGTGAGGACAATCAACCAGTGGAACAGCTTGCCCCCAGAAATCATGGGCGCTCCATCACTGGAGATTTTCAAGAAGAGACAAGACATTCACCTGCCTGAGATGGTATAGGTTCTCCTGCTTGAGCAGGGGGCTGGACTAGAAGACCTCCAAGGTGCCTTCTATTCTATTCTATTCTATTCTATTCTATTCTATTCTATTCTATTCTATTCTATTGTACTGTAATGAATGTAACTGAATTGATTTATGTTGTATGCTCCATTAATGGTGTTAAGATTTAATCAATTCCTCTTTTCATGTCACATAAACATTGCAATATGATAGCTACTTTAAGAGGTTGCTATCTAATTTTTTAAAGAGGCATAGGTTGCCCTGGGATCTCTGGTTATGTATCATCATCAGTGAGAAGATTCTATATACATGAATAATGATTACGGTACTTTAGAATGGGCAACAAATCTTCCTTTTATATATTTACATATAATATAAATACTGAAAAAATAAAACTCATGAGGGAGATCACATATATTCTTAATGAGTTAATTAAGAAATAAAATTATATGAACAATTATATTCTAGGCTAAACTTGGTTTACAGTATAGCATATTGAATTAATTACTATATCTGACTTCACCCATTGTGCTAAGCAAGACATTGTGTAAAGCAAGACATTGTGTAAAGACATTGTGTAAAGCAAGACATTGTGTAAAGCAAGACATGTTGTACCAATTGTAACATATGAATCCACTCACTGAAAACATTAGAAGAATGGTGTAAAATAACATCCTAACATCATGGAGGCTACTTGGGAAGGAACATCAAGTTAGGGGGAAGAAAAGGTTTCAATTGTCAATCTGTAGTTAAGAATTCCATTATGTACTTACTATATGTACTTCCAAGTACTGCAAGTACTTTGCTCATATACTTTATACATAGGCTCAAATCTGGCCCTCTTCCCCTTGTTTCTATTTAAACTAAGTACTTTGGAATATATATCATATAAATCAAAATAGACACAATCCTGTTTCCAAGGCTCTGGACAATCTGTGTTGGAAAGGTGAAGTTAGCTAATGATGCTTTCCCCCAGTAAAGGAAATTCTACAATGCTGGGCATCTCCCCCCCCTTCTTAATTTTAGACGTTACATTCTTTGCAAACGTTCATGCCTAAAGAAGGGTTGGAACAAAACAGAGCCGCTCTAACCGGTCAGACAGGTAAAAGGCTTGTTGACACCGTTATGTTTGCAGCACGCATGCTCCTTTCCAAGTTTCCTGGTGGTACCTTTACTCATACACCTTATGAAACTTGGGGGGTGGGGGTTGAGGAGACCTCCTTCCACTACGCCTCCGTTTTCTTGTTTTTTGGGGGGGGAGAAGCTTCGGAGAAGCAACGGAGTAGTTCTCCCGAGCGCAGGTAGATTAGAAACGCGTCTCACCTACAGCATAAGCAAGGTGAGGTACTAGTGCTCACCATGCCCCGCGTTTTCCTTGTGAAGAGAAGGATCCCGCTGCCTGCCAGTCGTAGCTGGGACGAGCTCCCAGACGAAGAGCGAGCGGATAACTACGTCCCAGGTAAAGCGAGAAAAAACCGCTCCTTCTCACCCCAGTTCCTAGTTCCTCTTCTCACATCTGTTCCCCATCTTCTCCGATCTTTATAATTATTTCACTGAAATAGCTAGGATTAGTATTTAAATTATCGAAAGCATATAATAAACAAAACAAACACTGGAAGCTTAGGTGGACTCGTATTCTGAATAAATTACTTGATATTAGTTATAGACAATAAGAAAAAGAGCTATATACTTACGCTCAGCGATTCTGTTTGAATCGCTTCGCAGTTTAACATTTCGTTTAGATTTTTTAAAAATCAGAACACATTGCAAAACGAGTGTAAGATCTTGATGGAAAGAAACACGGCACAACATAATCCGGTGGATAATTTGCTGGTTTTTTAAGAGAGCGTGATTAGGATCCAGCTGCTTTCCTAGAAACTACGGTAGTACAATAGTAGCACAGTGGCCTTTCATGATCACGTAATTCCGCTGTGGTCTTTTTTGCTGTTCCTCTACGCTTCTCGAAAATCTGATGGGACTTGGGGCAAGAATTATTAAATAATTTTAATCGGTTCCCCAACATCTTTCAGGAGATCTGCAGACGTGTGACATAAACCAAACCCCACCCCGGGTCTTGAAAGTACAGACAGGCGAATTTGCAGTTTCCATCTTTTTAAGCGATCTCGTGCCTTTCCCAATTTACAGCGGGTGGGCGAATTCCAAGTAGTCCGGCACGAGCGATTTCAACTTTGCCCTCTTCTGACTGTTTTAAGTTCCGGATTGCAACCGTTAGTTAGCCGAGCGCCTCCCATTTCGAACGAGGTGACTTGTTTTGAAGAGCGCCAAATCAGGTCGGGTGAGGGATTGTTAGATTATCGCCTTTTTTGGTTGGTTTGGAGAATGAAAGTCCAGATTGTGTTCCCTTTGTGCTCAATTATATAGACCAGTGGTGGCGAACCTATGGCACAGGTGCCAGAGGCGGCACTCAGAGCCCTCTCTGTGGGCACGCGTGCTGTCGCCTCAGTCCTAGGCCTTCAGCTGGATTTTATAAAACTTTTTCGCTTTAGGCCTCCACCGCCATGTGCAAAAGGGAGATAGAGCGGTATATAAATTCAATAAATAATAATAATAATCAGTCAATTTCAACTTCTTGCAGGAAAAAAAAATCTTGCAAAGTTGGAATTGATTGATTGAACTTTTTAGTCCCACCCAGTCTGCTGTTACCACCGCAGCCACGCTCAGCCAATGGGCCACGCCCACCTGGCACCCGATGATGCATAAGTGGGTTTTGGGTTGCAGTTTGGGCACTCTGTCTCTAAAAGTTTCGCCATCACTGATATAGACTTAACAAAAGAAATATTAAACACTGGCAGGGAGTGCACAGATTAATTCCTACATTAAATTTTACTATTTAGCCTAAGATTTGATCTTCCCTTAATGTTCCCAAATCTCAGGACATTCTTAATGAATTAGAATTATACATCTCTCTTTCACTCACTCAGCTAATGAATTTGATTAATTGTGCTAATGTTTTATGATGAGTTCTCAGTGAGACTCTTGTGGAAAACGAAAGAACTCTTACGAATTCCAGAGGGGTTTAGCAGAGAGGTTTATTGAGCAGGTTCAGAGGCATATTAGAGATAGGCAATTCTGAACAAGGAGGGCGGGATTAGACTTCAGTTTTTATACTACCCTTCTTTCAGGAACAAAGGGACTACACATGATAATACACTGTAATACATTTGGATCGTTTCTCACGGGCATACAATGGAAGGTTTTGCTACATACAAAGTATCCATGTGCAATGCGCATTTGGTTAGCCACATATTACTGACACAGAACTTTCCCAGTGAATTTTCCCAGTGATTATGCATTACATCATTATTCTAGCAATTATGCAGACACATCATTATTGCAGACAAATCATTATTCTAATAATTGTTCATTTTACTACATTAAGACAATCATGCTCTGACAACACTCCTGACTTCATCTTCCTCCTCCTCCTCATCATCATCATAAGCAGCAGCCTATTTCTATTTTGCCTTTTTATACATAACTCAAGGTGATGTACACTCACCTAGCCTAGCTGGCTTTTATGCCAAAAGGAGGCCTAGAACTCAAAGTCTGGTTTCTAGTCTAGCACCTTCCTCGGTACATCAAACTGGTGGTAGCCTGTTAAATTTAACTTAATGTTTTCTCCCTTATGTAGTATTGTTAAAAGACAACCTAAGGACGAATCCACAAGCTTCCTTGCTCTGTTTAAGGATGGCCCACTAACCATTTCCAGAGATCAAGCTGCTGTTGAGGCAGTCCAAGGATGGCTTCAAATACTCCACTTGGGAAGTGGCGTTTAAAGTCTGCCAGTATTTATTTATTGGGAGATTATTTGTTGCACATATGATTGAAGATATGTTTGGAAAAATATTAGGAGACTTCTTTTATTTGCTTGTTAGCCTCCATTCTCCACCTCACCTATTTCTCTGTCTTTGCATCTACTTCTCTCCAGGTTTCTAACAAGGTAGAAAAGAGTTAAGCAGAGCTCCACTTTTTCATTTGGGAATGAAGAGGGCAGAGATTTGTGGTTTTATTCCACTTTATTTGTCAGTTTTAATCATTTCCTCATAAAGTAAGAAATCTGTTAGTCTAGCAGTTATTCAGTTCAGTTCTGCCACTTACAAATAAATGTAATTATTAATATTAATAACATAATTATAAATAATTAAAAGGACAAGAATGAAAAGTTTGTTATATCATCAAATTGGTGGTAGCCCTATGAATAAGTGTCATGGTTCTGATAAATGAGACCACAAGAAATAAGAACTCTGAGGCAATTGCTTTCCTCGAAGAACACTTTTAATGGCTACATAATATCAGCACGAACAAAGGTGAAACCAAGATTGAAAGTTACCCTCCCAAAGGTTACAAAGTAAAAGTTGAACTCCCCACCCATTGATGTGTCATAAATCACAATCCCCAATTAACACCTTTGGCAGGCTTCCTAACGGTAGCTCCAGCTCACCAAACACTTTAGCTGCTTGACCTTGGTTCCCACAAGAAAGTTATTGTTTTGACTAAACTAAAAGAATGCAGTCTCCCCCCTCCCATTTCTGTGGCAGCCGAAAAATGAAGAATCATGGTTGTATTCAGAGTGTTTGAAGATCCGACAGTCATCTCCCCTAAAGAAGAGAGAAATCCTGTTGAAGAAAAGATTTAGAATCAGAAATCAACCCTAGGCCAGTGATGGCGAACCTTTTAGAGACCGAGTACCCAAAACCCGCCCTGCCCCCGTCGCTCCGCCCAGCCCAGCCCACTCCACTCCCAGCCCCACCCTGCCCCACCTGCCGGGCCACCCACCACCTCCGCTCAGGTGGCCCTGCAGTGCCATGGTGGACACACCCTCCATCCGCGCCCGACAGCATCATCTGCGCGCGACGAGGCACGAGGGTGGAGTCTTGTCCCTACTGCCCAGCTCCACACCTGGGGGCGACTCTCCAGGGGGGCTGCTGAGGAGGAGGGGGCCGTGGGGGGAGGCGCGCGTGCCCACAGAGAGGGCTCTGAGTGCCGCCTCTGGCACGTGTGCCATAGGTTTGCCACCACTGCCCTAGGCTTATTCGGATGCTTATCATAAAATTTACGTTTTAATCTATCAGCTTTTACATCAGTACTTTTCACCCAGGTGGCCTCTGATAGTGGGTAACCTTTGCATTGCACTAGATATTGCAAATTTCCCTTATACAACCTAGAGTCAATGATTCATTTTATTTCATAATGAATCTCCCCCTTCACAACAAGAGGATCAGGTGCTTGCTTGGGAAGAGGTCTCAATGTGGATTCCCTATATGGCTTCAATAGGCTGCAGTGGAACACAGGGTGAATTTTCCCCAGAAGGGGAGGAAGCTTTAACTCCATAGTCACTGGATTTATGATCCGCACAGTGGGGAAAGGTCCAAGGAATTTAGGTCCCAATTTTTTACTAGGCAATTTGAGTTTTAGATATTTTGTAGAGAGGTAAACTTTTCCCCCCACATGAAATTATCTCTGGAGTGCCCTCCTCTTACAATCCATATTACCGTATTTCCCCTACTTTTCGGTAATTCTACAATAAAGTCCATGGCTATCTCTTCGCAGGGCTGGGAAGGGTCTGTGACTTGCTGTAATAATCCAGGGGGTTTTCCTGGACATTTTTTCATGGTTGCACAAGTCGCACAGCTTTTTACATAATTTTCAACATCCTTCTTCAGTCCCGGCCACCAAAACTGCTGCCAAATAAAATGTAAAGTTTTTAGATAGCCAAAGTGACCCTCTTGTTTGTTATTGTGGCTGCGTTGGAGAGCCTGAACTCTTTTATTTATTTATTTATTTATTTATTTTTATTTTTATTTTTATTTTTATTTTTATTTTTATTTTTATTTTTATTTTTATTTTTATTTTTATTTTTATTTTTATTTATTTTTATTTTTATTTTTATTTTTATTTTTATTTTTATTTTATTTATTATACATCTTTCAAACATAGAATGCATTAACATACATACATTTCAATTCTAACATTACACATTTTAGTTATATAACTATTAATGCATACTTATAATACCATCCCAACTCTCCCCCCACCCCATTATCCCCCTCCCCCTCCCTTTCCCCCCCTTCCCCTCCCTCACTTCCCAGAACTGAACACAGGGTTACCAA